TAGAAATACAATTTTAAAACGGTCACTAATTTGTACAATATATGTATGCTCAGGTATGATGCCCCTTTGTTGAGTTGGGATGGTTCACCCTTGGCCACACTGCAAATTGGAGAAAAATTACTGAACGTGAATTGATGTTATCAAGAGTATAACCATGTATCAAATCTTAAATTCCGTGTAATCTATCCAGTAGGTCCTGTTGCACACAACCCAACTCACGAAACGTTTCAAGTTCAAATCCTGATCGTGGATCTATGAGGTGCGTCATCCATTTAGGGTTGTGGCTGCATTGCAAAATAGTGGTTGTTACGGTACTGTGGAAAAGCTGGAATTTGCACCACTGGCTCCAGATAATTAATCAAAGTGGTCACTGACTGCACTCGTTTGAGAATGTGGGCACCTCCGATTCATGCGGTTGGCTATGTACGGTGTGAAAGAAGTTTAACATGCAAACATACATTATGCTTGTTCACCCAGGAAAGCCTCAGTATCATTACTCTTTTTCAGGAGGTTCCTGATAAGTTACCGCAGTAGCGGACAGCTACTGCTATGTATAATCCCAATTAAGTAATTTGCAGGTAATTTTTTAATTGGCAAATTTGGACCATGACGTCAGAGCACAATGGCCTACTCTTGCGAATAACATCACGTGATCTTTAAAGTCCATTGTGAAGCAGATGGCGCTTATTGTTACGGTTAATAAACCCGAGATACAAACTCAACATATTCGTCAATAACACTGCCACATTAACGGACAGGCTAGACAGACAGTGGACAAGAGTTGGTGACTGCACTATACACCATGTGTCCCTACAAGAATCACATCTTAAAAATGTTTCCTGAGGAACGGTTTTTTAATTGGCAGCTTTTGAGCAAGGACCTTAAAAAAGCAAAACATGTATTACTAAATAATCGAATTTGTATTCAAAGTAAAATTATAACATCTTGCTGGCACATTGCATTATGGGTAGAACTGTTGTCGTCCGGCCAATGTATAATCCACTTAGTGATGCATTCCTGGGTCCAAGTTCAATAACATTAGAGAAGCTCTCAAGAAATGAAAGGATCTTGCAACTGTTTTAAATTCATGAGCCTTGCACAAGGGTTCGAGCAATTTAAGGGGTGAAATGGAAAAAAATAAATTATATTTGGGTGTCTTTTTTAGCCTTTGCTGTCCAATTTTACGGATGAATAAAATGTGTTGTATAAACAAATGTGTGGTGAGGTTTATGCTATATGTGAACCTAAAAAGGGATGAAAGACGTTTAGGTCCAGCACTCAATTGTAAAGCGATGCTTTAAGTGAAGGTGTGGCGTTCAGTTGGTCCTGCCGGCTGAACAGGATTTCGTTTGAATACGAGGGGACGAAGGCCTTCTGTCCATGTTTGCTGTTCTCATCCCCATCAGAAAGCAAGACATGGCCACGTACCGACTACGCGGTAAATATATTCACTTGTGATGAAAAATAATAATAGGCTTTTACCCTTTCTGGCACTAAAACAGGTGGTAAGATATTCTTGGTTCTTTCAGTAAAGTCACGTAGAAGGGAAACAATAAAATAACACAAATATAAAACAATAAAATTCTCATGACGTTTCGACTGCAACATAAGCAATCATCATCAGGTGTGAAAACCACAGTAAGAACATTTTAAAAAAGTGGCGTTTTTTTTTACGTTAGCACCACGGAGAGCGATTTGGCAGTTATTCAGATGGACGAGTCCATCTATGTTCGGAAAAGAGGAGGGGGGAGACGAAAATAATGGATGTGGTCTGAAAGCCACCGTAAGCGTGAACAATCAATTAAGACCCGAAATGGTCTCTCAAATCCTTCCAATGATTGCTAAGCCAGAATCCATCTTTTTTTGGATGTCCTTTTTTGGATGTCTTGTGTTTATTCAAGATTTTGGAGATCTTTTTTGTGATCCCCGCAATGTAGGGTAAAGTTATGGTTTTGAAAGGCTCCTCAAGAGGGTCCTTCTTCATGGTTGGAGTGATAGCTTTGCGGATTGTGTAGTCGGAGTAACCATTAGCCTTAAGAGCTTGGTGTGCGTGCTTGAGTTCACTGGCTATGTGTTCCTGGTCGGATATGCATTGGGCTCTATGGTGCAGAGTCTTGATGAGGGAATTCTTCTGGGATGGATGGTGGTGGGAATCCGGTTTCAGGTAAGCATCCATATGGGTAGCTTTCCTGTAGACAGAGTGGCTCATTGAACCATCAGGTCTCTTTTTTATGAGGACATCCAAAAAAAGATGGATTCTGACTTAGCAATCATTGGAAGGATTGGATAAACCATTTCGGGTCTTAATTAATTGTTCACGCTTACAGTGGCTTTCATACCGCAGCCATTATTTTCGTCTCCCCCCTCCTCTTTTCCGAACATAGATGGACTCGTCCATCTGAATAACTTCCAAATCGCTCTCCGTGGTGCTAACGTAAAAATAATACAAATTTAAAAAACGACACTTTTTTCAAATTTATTGCTGTGGTTTTCACACCTGATGATGATTGCTTGTGTTGCAGTGGAAACGTCGTGAGAATTTTATTGTTTTATATTTTTATTATTTTATTGTTTCCCTTCTACGTGACTTTACCGAAAGAACCAAGAAGATGAATTCCTGCAGTCACGAAAGCTTTAAATCAGGTGTTAAGATGTTCGTCATATTCATATTATCATGCTCTGATATACAGTATGCTCAGAGCATGTTTGTTTGCATGTTTTGTCACACGTATGTGTGGTGAATGCATACTTGATGCATTGCAAAAGGAATCTATTTGGCGTTTGAACATCTAAACACCTCCTGTTTTATTGCCAGAAAGGGTAAAAAATTTCTTATTTTTCATCATTTTGGATTCTGGCAAAAAGGTCCCATTGCTATATTCACTTGTGGCAGTCTGACTGTGACAGCACAATCCCGACTCAAACTTCTGAGGCTGCTTATACCCTAGAAGCGTCCTCAAGCATGCAAGAGGTATTGATTACATTTCATAGTTCAGTAACTATAGGTTTGCTTCGACCTTGGTAAATTGTGGCTGTAATACTGTCAAAGCTGTGACTTGCTCGGGCAAATTACGTCAACATGGTCCGTAAAGGTCACCACTCTGCAGGCAGCAGCGCTGCTAAACAATGCCCCGGAGAAATTACTGTGTTGAGATGAGGTTTGCTGCTCAAAAAATCATGTACAGGCATGTACACTGAATACCAGACGATGCAGCTGCCTCCTAGAGACAAATAACCGCCTGCGAATGTTTCTGATAAGACTCCTCGGTAGAATCCGTAACAAGAGGTAGCATGTTACACCAATAGCGCTTCCCGCTCACCTGTGCACTTTGCTGCAAGATCTCAAGACTCATAATTAGCTATCAATCTTGTTCTCACACTTCCTCTCGCTGCAACGGCACACACAGGGGGGGTTCCTTCTCTGTAACCTCCTCGTCAATCTGTGCACGATGGGAAGTCGCTCCTTAAGAATGTGAAATGGCCAAAGGCTAAGTGCCATGTTGTCCATTGCATGTGTTTTTTTTAATTACATCTGGCTTTACCCTGCCAATGGTATTGTGTTTTTGTGTCTGCTTATTATAAACCTCACGTAGACTTTAAAAGTAAACGCGTCGGGTCTTACGGCATATTTGTGTTTACGTATAACAGAGTGCAGTGTGTTAGGTATCTGAGTTATAGGTGAGGGGAACGTGAAGATCTGGAAAAAAATAAGTCACAAATACTGCACAGGGCACAGCTGGTTCATTGGTCAGGGTGGATATGTGACGTTTGGATATGCGACGTTCGGCGGTATACTGAAAGTACAACTCAGTATAAAATGGCATTACTCATCACAAATTCAGGCAATTAATTAATAGGTTTTACCCGTACTGATTTGAATTGCTACATTTCCATTGCCATATTCTACCGATGAGAGTACAGGGGGATTTCAAACCCCATTCTCCTTCAAGTTTCTTGAACACAACAAAAGTACATGGTCGAGAACTGGTACGCAGCTAAGGCCCATCCACAGCAGGAGGGCATCCGAAACAGATGAGCCAAATGGACCGGGGCGATGGGAGTGGAGGCAAAGGCCAGATGGCCTGGGCAGGGGGGACAGGGCCCCACGAGCCTAGAAAAGCAACATGGGGAGAGGATCTCACGGCAGAGAAAGACGAATGAATGAGGCCGAGAAGGGAGAGGAATCCACAGAAGGGAGGGCCCATATGAGGGGACCACACGGATTAGTGGGGTCCATCAAGAAGACTCGTCATGAAAATAAAAGGTAACGTTTGAGTATACACGTGGCAGCTTAACACATGCAAGGAGCGTAATGACCACGAACGCGGGGGGGGGGGGAATGGTACCCAGGGGAGAGAAGGGACCCACCCCATAGGAGTGGTGCCTCGGGAACTGAGTTGAGTGTTTAGTTTGTCGTCCTTCCCATACCCGCACCTCCGATTAGCACGGTTGGCTACGTACGGTGGGAAAGAGGTTCAATATAAATTCATTGCGAGAGGGGACCGAGGAGCCTTAGATGAGTGAGGCGACCGGGGGGGGGTGGGGTATGAACCCGGAGGGGATTGTGTACCCAGGGGTGATTAGGGGCCCCCAATGAGAGGGGACCACTGTGGAGAAAGGGGGCACGTGGGGGGGGGAGAAAGGGGATGCGGGGGGGGAGAAAGGGGACCTGGAGGGGGGGGAGAAAGGGGACCTGGAGGGGGGGGGGGAGGAAGGGGACCCGGAGGGGGGGGGGGAAGGAAGGGGACCCGGAGGGGGGGGGGGAAGGAAGGGGACCCGGAGGGGGGGGGAGGAAGGGGACCCGGAGGGGGGGGGAGGAAGGGGACCCGGAGGGGGGGGGAGGAAGGGGACCCGGAGGGGGGGGGGGAGATCCCATGGGCGAGCAGTCACCCCAAGACACAATCCATGGAAAAACGAACGGACGTATAAAGAACGACCACCGTCTTGCGCCCTGGCCCCATGACCCGGGCTGTTGCCCCCCCCCCCACCACGGCACTCACCGAGTGGTCGATGCCCCACATGAGGACGCTGAAGAGCGGCTCGCTGGCCCTGAACAGCTTCACCTTCTGGGCCACGAAGTGCTTCTTCTTCGTCTTGGTTTTGCTGGCGCCAATGCTGATGGGCACGCTCACCGCGGTGCTGTTGTTCGCTGCCATCTCTGCCGCTGGTGCCGTGACTACCGCCGCCGCCGCCGCTGCTGCTGCTGGTGCCGCCGCTTCGTCTGCCACCGTCGCTGCAGCTGAATGCGATGCTCGTGACGCCGCTACTGCCACCGTTTTACTTGGCTGGCGCCCTTACTGCCGTCGGCTGCTGCCTCTCTCTCTCTCTCGCTCGCTCCGCCTCGCTCACAGTCAACGCTGCGCGGCGCCTGCTTCTGTCCCTGCCGCTTCGTTCCCTGCCGCTTCTCTCCGCCGTCACTCCGACTTGGCCGCTGAAGTATCTTCTCGTCTGCCTCCCTCGGCTGAGCCCACACCAACCACCGCCTCCGCTGCTGTCGCTTTCTGCTTCTCTCTCTGTGTGTGTGTGTGTGCTGCTGCTGTGCTGCTGCTGCTGTTCGCTACTCTCCTCCCACTCCCCCACCTCGCCAGCCACCTCCTTCCTCGTCGCCGTGCAAACAGCGACGCGCACCGGGCTCAGTCGGAGTTTTGGCTTCTCCCACGGACTGCGGTGGCTTGCCGTCAGAGATCCCCACCGAGAGCGAATTGTCGTTGTCTACGTGCGGTGGTGGCGGCTTGTGAGAGCGCGAATTGTAACGTCGCGGTTGTGGGAATGCATGCGGCTGGAGTTAAGTTGCGCGGCTGTCGTCTGTCGCCGTTCCCAGTCTCGCCGTGTCACGACGCCGTCTCTACTTTGTCGCTGTGATTATCGCCGTCGCGGTCTCTCTCGTATGTGTCGCCGTGGTTATTTCTGTCTTTCTAGTGTTTGTGTCTCGTGTTGGGAGTCGCTGTCTCTCGACTGTGTTGGAGTCGCTGTGTTTGTCTCTCTCTAGTGTGTCTCTAGTGTTTGTCTCTTTCTAGTGTCTCTCTCTAGTGTTTGTCTCTCTCTAGTGTGTCTCTCTAGTGTGTCTCTCTAGTGTCTCTCTAGTGTGTCTCTTTCTAGTGTCTCTCTCTAGTGTCTCTCTCTAGTGTCTCTCTCTCTAGTGTTTGTCTCTCTCTAGTGTTTGTCTCTCTCTAGTGTCTCTCTCTAGTGTGTCTCTCTAGTGTCTCTCTCTCTAGTGTTTGTCTCTCTCTAGTGTTTGTCTCTCTCTAGTGTCTCTCTCTAGTGTGTCTCTCTAGTGTGTCTCTCTCTAGTGTGTCTCTTTCTAGTGTCTCTCTCTAGTGTGTCTCTTTCTAGTGTATCTCTCTAGTGTCTCTCTCTAGTGTCTCTCTCTAGTGTCTCTCTCTAGTTAGTGTGTCTCTCTTGTGTCTCTAGTGTTTGTCTCTCTCTAGTGTCTCTAGTTAGTGTCTCTCTAGTGTCTCTCTAGTGTGTCTCTCTCTAGTGTGTCTCTCTCTAGTTAGTGTGTCTCTCTCTAGTGTCTCTCTCTAGTGTCTCTCTCTAGTGTTTGTCTCTCTAGTGTCTCTCTCTAGTGTCTCTCTCTAGTTAGTGTCTCTCTCTAGTGTCTCTCTAGTGTGTCTCTCTCTAGTGTGTCTCTCTCTAGTGTGTCTCTCTCTCTCTAGTGTCTCTCTCTAGTGTCTCTCTCTAGTGTCTCTCTCTAGTTAGTGTCTCTCTCTAGTGTCTCTCTCTAGTGTTTGTCTCTCTCTAGTGTCTCTCTCTAGTGTCTCTCTAGTTAGTGTCTCTCTCTAGTGTCTCTCTCTAGTGTGTCTCTCTAGTGTGTCTCTCTCTAGTGTCTCTCTCTAGTGTCGAGTGTCTCTCTCTCTAGTGTTTCTCTAGAGTTTGTCTTTCGCCAGTGTGTCGAGTCTGTCTCTTTAGTGTGCCTGTCTACAGAGTTTATCTGCTGGTTGTCTCTCTCCGCTGTTTGTCTCTCTGCTGGTTGTCTCTCTGCTGGTTGTCTCTCTGCTGGTTGTCTCTATCTGCTGGTTGTCTCTATCTGCTGGTCGTCTCTCTCTCTGCTGGTTGTCTCTCTGCTGATTCTCTCTCTGCTGGTTGTCTCTCTGCTGGTTGTCTCTCTCCGCTGTTTGTCTCTCTCCACTGGCTCTCTCCACTGTCTCTCTCCACTGTGTGTCTCTCCACTGTGTCTCTCTCCACTGTCTCTCTCCACTGTGTCTCTCTCTCTCCACTGTGTCTCTCTCTCCACTGTGTGTCTTTCTCCACTGTGTGTCTCTCTCTGCTGTTTGTCTCGCGAGGTTGTCGACGTTAGCGAAGCGCGGAGCCGCTGAGCGGAGCCGCCATCGCGCCCAGCGGGGACCGGAAGTGACGGCTACGGGTCGCGAGATGCGCGCGCCACCGAAAAAATGCGTTTCGTAAATGCGGCCCACGCAGCCTTGCCAGTGTCCTGAGGTTTTACCTCCAGATTGCAGTGCGAGTACTCTACCACCTCTAGTGGAGGTGGGGGGGACGCGGACCCCTGGGGGGGGACGCGGACCCCTGGGGGGAGGGGGGGACGCGGACCCCTGGGGGGGGACGCGGACCCCTGGGGGGAGGGGGGGACGCGGACCCCTGGGGGGAGGGGGGGACGCGGACCCCTGGGGGGAGGGGGAGACGCGGACCCCTGGGGGGGGGACGCGGACCCCTGGGGGGAGGGGGGGACGCGGACCCCTGGGGGGAGGGGGGGACGTGGACCCCTGGGGGGAGGGGGAGACGCGGACCCCTGGGGGGGGGACGCGGACCCCTGGGGTGAGGGGGGGACGCGGACCCCTGGGGGGAGGGGGGGACGTGGACCCCTGGGGGGAGGGGGGGACGCGGACCCCTGGGGGGAGGGGGGGGGGGACGTAGACCCCTGGGGGGGGGGGCTTCCCCTCAGAGTATTTCGTTAATTAATTTTGTTATTTGTCATATAAAAAAGAACGGAACCTTGAAATTGAGCGGTTTCCGATGGGACTGTCTTGAAATGTAAGAAGTTTAATCAAGTCGTCAAACATTTTTGTGGGGGGGGGGTTTTTGTTTTTTGCGGACAAGTACGGTACACATGTTTTGAGTAGTTAGCGTCTGATCATCGATACAAATTGTAAAAAAAATCATATCACGTTCATTATTATATTCATTGAAAACTTTTTTGCCTGGCGAAGACAGGCTTTATGAGCTAGTGAGTAAATAATCACGTAGGAATCTATCAATAAACAAAAATAACCAACGATAAAAAATGTTTAATCCGTATGGTAACCTATAACCATGTAAAAGACTTTTCTAAACTCATTGACCTTAAGCAGTGGTAACTCCAAGGGTAACCAGCGAGCGATAACAAGTTGCGTCACGCACGCAGAGCGTCCTTTGAATGTGTGTGTTGTTTTATTCGATTGCAGTTACGAGATAGGATATACTCTATAGATTATTTCGGTAAAGTCACGTAGGTAATAAAATAAAATAAATGATATCTACGTGACTTTACCGAAAGAACAAAAGAGTATAGATTCCTGCAGTCACGAAAGCTTCAAATCAAGATTGAGATATGATATATACCTCACAAAATTGTTTTTAAATTATTGATGTTCATTCTTCGGACGTGTATGTCTCGCATAAACACGTTGGGTCAGGCATGGGGGTAACACAATTCAACAAATAGTCAACCAAGGTTGAGAGAAACGTTGCTCTAAAGTCTAAACAATTGGTGAGCGCCGTCGTGGAGACATATATAAAGAGTCCCGTTAGGAGATTACTAAATGAGCAGACATCTGCCTCCCTCACGCATCTCTATTATGTAGTTAGTTCATAGTTCATTTATTTGGTATAGCCCTGTGAGCCATTCGGCTCTTGAATCGGGTGCAACCGCAACAAACAAACAAAAACATGAACAAGAAAACATCTTAAAGTGACTATGTGACCGTGCAAACAGAAAATCCAGGAAAAAAAATCATCAACATATTCCTGAAATAGCACCGTACACCAACGCTGTGTGCAAAAAATCCCAGTGGGATGCAAGTCAAACAACAACCACAAGAAAACTTAGATTAAGGACATCAGTCTAACTCCGTACTACAATAAACAAAAACATGGCCAAAACCAAAAAACGTTTTCGAAATCACCAAAATAAAAGCCATAAATGCAATGTAACAGTGATCATAGGGACTGTGACCAAATTTTTAACAATAAACTACATAAATAAATGATAACACCAAAAATCTAGAGCCATATTTTAGGCCACTGAATAGCAGTGGCAGCTAGGGGTGTACAACTCCTCTAGAGCAGTTTTGAGTGAAGTGTATCTAACAAGAGACGACGGTCCTTTTGCCTATAAATATCCACAAGTTCGCCAGCAAGCCTGACTTGACCGTGCGTATCATTGCCCGAAACAGTCGCCTATATTGTTTTTTTTCTTTTCACGTCCCAGTGCGTTATTTTTTTTAACGTAAATATTGAGTGCCATTGGTTCGTTTAACGAGAAAAGCCATCTCGAGACAATGCCATCTTTGTCACCTTCGATAATCACAGTTGGCTACGTACGGTGCGAAATAAGCTCAACATACATACTACGGCAAACGTTAATCGTGGGTTCCAGAACGTGCTCCATCCACCTCCATACTTCACCAATGTGCAAAGGGCACGCCGAGGCGAGGTGATTTGAACACGGAAGGTCTCGCAGCCGAGAAGAAGGCGGTAAACTCGGGCGCAGCAGGTGAGGTCCTGGGGGTTGAAGAAGGGAAGCGGGCTTTGAAACAGAATGACAAAGGGGCCGAGAGAGGGACGTGTGGAAGTCTTTCTAGAGAAAAGGGAGAGGGGTCGGAAAACCTGCGGATCTGGAGGAGTAATGCGGTGGGGCTGTTTTTAAGGACTGTAGCACGGCTCTTGAACTTCGAAAAAAAAATGGATCTTGTTATTGCGGTTGCCGACCCCTTACCATGGAAGTCAAATTCACCATGGAAGTCCAGTTCACCATGGAAGTCCGGTTCACCATGGAAGTCCAGTTCACCATGGAAGTCCAGTTCACCATGGAAGTCCGGTTCACCATGGAAGTCCAGCTCACCATGGAAGTTCAGTTCACCATGGAAGTCCAGTTCACCATGGAAGTCCAGTTCACCATGGAAGTCCGGTTCACCATGGAAGTCCAGTTCACCATGGAAGTCCGGTTCACCATGGAAGTCCACCTCACCATGGAAGTTCAGTTCACCATGGAAGTCCAGTTCACCATGGAAGTCCAGTTCACCATGGAAGTGCAGTTTACCATGAAAGTCCAGTTCACCATGGAAGTCCAGTTCACCATGGAAGTCCAGTTCACCATGAAAGTCCAGTTCATAATGAAAGTCCAGTTTACCATGTAAGTCCAGTTCACCATGGAAGTCCAGTTCACCATGAAAGTCCAGTTCATAATGAAAGTCCAGTTTACCATGTAAGTCCAGTTCACCATGGAAGTCCAGTTCACCATGGAAGTCCAGTTCACCATGGAAGTGCAGTTTACCATGAAAGTCCAGTTCACCATGGAAGTCCAGCTCACCATGGAAGTTCAGTTCACCATGGAAGTCCAGTTCATCATGGAAGTCCAGTTCACCATGGAAGTCCAGTTCACCATGGAAGTTCAGTTCACCATGGAAGTCCAGTTCACCATGGAAGTCCAGTTCACCATGGAAGTTCAGTTTACCGTGAAAGTCCAGTTCACCATGGAAGTCCAGTTCACCATGAAAGTCCAGTTCATAATGAAAGTCCAGTTTACCATGTAAGTCCAGTTCACCATGGAAGTTCAGTTCACCATGGAAGTCCAGTTCACCATGGAAGTCCAGTTCACCATGGAAGTGCAGTTTACCATGAAAGTCCAGTTCACCATGGAAGTCCAGTTCACCATGGAAGTCCAGTTCACCATGGAAGTCCAGTTCACCATGAAAGTCCAGTTCACCATGGAAGTCCAGTTCACCATGAAAGTCCAGTTCATAATGAAAGTCCAGTTTACCATGTAAGTTCAGTTCACCATGGAAGTTCAGTTCACCATGGAAGTCCAGTTTACCATGGAAGTGCAGTTTACCATGAAAGTCCAGTTCACCATGGAAGTCCAGTTCACC